CGCTACCACAATAACTACTACTACCAATGCAGTGAGGTTCTACTCACAGTTGTGAACAGCATGGTTGGATTGCGCAAAGGAATACGATGGGCGATTTCTCACAACGGTAACAAATGAACAAGACCGCGAAGAAAAATTATTACTAATTATTATCGCGTGTGCTGTTGGGAATTTTGATGACATGTTCAAAATGAGAAATCTTGTTATATGTACGCCAATTTATCCGTACCCCAATCGTGGTTCGTAATAGACGAGTCTCCTCAAGTCAGCACTGGTCTTTTGGGAGTATAACAACTGGTGCCGTCGTCATGGCCCGTAGCTTTCAAGAATGGAGACCTCGCGGGTTTTCCTGGAGGAGTTCGAGGACTTCTTGGAGTTGGCGGAGATACGGACTAACCGGGGTAGTTGACGGCCCCGGAGCGCTTTTCAAGGGCCTTGCGCGGGCGGTATTGGAGGCGGCGCTAAGAGGCTCGGTGAAGATGGAGTGAGCCGCAGCTAAGGACGCATTAATCTCCAGTTTGGATACTTCGGCCGACCGCCAGCGGCGTTGCGGCGCTTCAAGGCGGCTCGGAGTTCTTGTGGATCCTTTGTCGCATACCGTGACCCTGCGCACCCTGTTGGGCCGAGCGCTCCTGATGTTGAATAATTCCGAGCGTTCGGAATAACTGCCCTCTCGTTTTATGGTGAGCCTGTCGGAAGACTGGCGGGAGACGGCATGGATAATTCATACCGAGAAGACCATGTATTCAAACTGGCGGATGTCCTGAGGGATTTCACCGGGAAAACAATCACTCCTGTCCAGCCAATCGAAGGCTATAGACGCCAGCCTACAGGAATTACAGCAACTCTCGGGGAGTTGACGGAGGAGGTGGCCATCCGAACCGATTAAGAACAGAGAGATATTAAGAAGGGGAATCGTGAGCGCGATAAGACAGCGTGCTGGCAGAAAAATTGGCTCGAAACACAACGCAAGTGGTCCTTGAGAATAACCCTGATTTCGTTCAAATCGTTATCTCCAGACAAGGCTCCCTCCAGAACGGCTGATAGTAGTTCAGTTCAGGTCCATATGGGGATGAAGGATCAGAAAACGCTATATTGTTTATATGTATATATATATCTTCTGGGGTTCCCAGTGGAATGCGAATGGTTGGATTCACTTGAAGTTAAAAAGGACTCACTTGAGGTCACGGCGGACTCACTTGAAGTTGAAAAGGTATAGTTTTCAGAACTCTCACAAGAACACAGGATAAATAATGGAACGGTCGGATTTTACATGCACCTTTCCCTTAATTATCATTTTGATTGCAGTGAGAAGCTGCCTAACACCTTCCTTGCGAAATCCGAACATATTGTGATGGGAGGCAGTAAAAAGATAGTCCTGGTTAGCGACCGAAGCAAGAATGGGGCTCATCCGATCAGACGCGCAGACGCAGCGGCGGGAAGTGCCTCGCGAGACAATGTTCAATGCCACCCGAAACGAGCGAATCGACAATTACAGCCCGACAGACAATCCGCAGCTAACGGGGAAGTTACCCACCGAATGCCACAACGTCGGAGCTGTCGATCAACGCATCTCGCGCCGCGATCGGGTCAAACCAGTTGGAATGGCACGCGGAAGAAGAGGCAACGTACGTGCCAAGTGCGGACCAAGACCAACAAGGAATGACCCACAGAAAGAAGCATGAATCATCCCGCCGCGCGATTGAGAATCGACTGTATATAATCGAACGCATACACTTTGTTTTCCTGAGCGTAATTCCTATGATTGTAATCCCATGAGTAATTTACCTCCTACGAAATCGATCTTCGCACCCACGCTCCTGAGCAGATCGACACCGATTATAACCTCACTTACGCGTTCGATCAAGACCATCTCATGGGTAACGGTCACTCCACCAAGCCGCACACTGACACATTGTTTACCCAGGACTCTGAGTGGCATACCTCCAACCGCACGCACGCTCACATTGCACGGCTTCACCGGAACCCCTTCTATCCGGGGCACAATTGAAATCCCGGTACCAGTATCAATAACAGCCAACTTTGACCGTCCCAAAATGAAAACCTCGAGCCTTGGAGCCCCCCGGGCGGTCGGATTAGAAACAGAAAAACAGGGACGAATGTACTGGTTTGGGCAAAAACGGGCAAGGTGTCCTACACCAAGGCAACTGAAACATCGCTTTGGCCGAACTTGAGCCCTGACACGTCTCCTTCCTTGTGGTCCGCCTTTCAATTCCTCCTTCAGTCTTCCGATTTCTTCAAATATTTGTTCAATCTTATCTTCAGTTTCGGCAGCATCCACCTGAGCAATCACATCATCATTTTGACAGGCTTGCACAATGGAAATTAGGCCCTCTGAATCATTCACTCTGCCCGCCAACGCAAGTCTCAGTTTGTCTTTCATCTGTGCCGGCATGCTTTGTATGAACCGGTCTTTGGCAAGCCTCTCCCGTGTTTCGTTATTCGCCTCCGGCAGGCCCAGGGAAATTTGTCGCTTTATTTATTGGTAGTGTACCAACGGGTCCTCAGTTCGGTTGTACTCCGCAGCGTAAAACCGGCTCATGGCCTTCTCGCGGTCACCCTTTGAAAATTCTGCCACCAATGCAGATTTCAAATTCTGATAATCTAGGGCTTGGTTGCTTTCCAAATTCAAGTCGTAGGCGGCCCTCAACGCGGTGACCATGTGCGCACTCCCTTTGATGCTGTTGCACGATGCGATCAATTCAAAATCGCGAATCCACTTCTCCACATCTCCGTCTGCAAACGCGTTTGACCGGAGTAGCTTCATTGCTCGCATTCTCGTTACAACATTACTCACGACAGAGCTACTACTACTACCACTACTAATACTATTACAGTCAATCTCCTGCTACGTCACACCCATGAAAGGTGGCATTTTCAAATATATTCCCACTACATAGATGCCAGAAGTTCAAGATGTAACAATGGGCAACCGCCTGTGTATCAAAGATAAGCAGAATGTGTTGAAAATGTTGAATGAAGCAGGTACAACCCAGAGCTATATAGAAAAATCACTTCGTAGTTCAAAGAAAACAGTGTTATATCTAATCGAACGATTATTGGAGAGTTTGTGAACTGTATTACACCTCAGGAAAGGTGGCGCTTAAACGATAAATTCGAAGCAGTTAATGATGCGACCTTGGCATGGTTTACCGCTGTGAGGGAAATGCATGGTGAAGTCCCAGTGGGGGAGAGCAAAAGGTTTGTTTCGCTCTTGGTCAAACAGATGTAGCGTTTAGTCCTACAAGGTGAGAAACTAGCAGTTTGACGGTACCACACGATGCGGTAGACGGATTTCGAGGGGGTTGGCGGCAGTTGGTCTTTGGATACGCCGACTGTGGTATTCTCAATGCTGATGAACCAGCTGCATAACACTAGCATCTCCCGGAAGAAGGACTAACAATTCCTAGAGCCAGCAAATCGGAGAAAACAGTACTTACCGCTTTGTTCAAGCTAACATTTATCACTGTTGCGCTATCCAAAAATTGGCTGTTCGATATCAAAGGTGAAATGCTTTCCCAAGGATGCTGGATTTTACTGGCTAAAGATAACGCCCCTTACCGTAACAAAACCGCAGCATTCTCAGATCGGAAATTGACATGATTAACTCAAAACCATTCTTCAGTAGCACAATAAACGGAAACGGACATGGTTCGGTCATTCAAATTTTCATTCCGGAAATATTTACCGGAATGCGTTTTGTCTGTCGTAGGAGATGGGTAATTCAACATAAAAAGCGAAATGAACATTTTCATTGACATGAACCTGGTTAAACAATCTTCGTTACTTTTTCATCCGCATGTACTGCTCAACGCTTTTTAAAAGGCTGAGTTGAAATCCACATCGAATCAGTGGGTATTGCATACAACAGAGGAATAATGACATGAGATTGAAGATTTTACGCATTTCGTACATATTGATGAGCGTCTTATTGAAAACAAAATTGCCTATTCAGCAGTTGATGATGCAGAAGTGGGTTATATGAAAACATTGTATTACGTCTCAGTCGTAGTTTTTAGATAGAATCACCAGGAACCAATCCGAGCGTCGTAAAGTAAAACATGAATGCGACTCATTGATTGCATCGACAATTATCTCAATCAGATAGGCGATGAAGTTACTAGGTCAATTCAAGTTGTTTGCTTTGGCAAACGTTCGGGGTTCTGGTGAATTACGAGAGCGTACAATTGAGAGAGAGCGTATAGTTGATTCCCAGCGGAGCTAAACTGAGTCATGCGAAGATTTATGACTTTGTAACAAATAAATCTTTGTATCATACACCGGTTTCTTCTACAATACACTTAAAACACTGGAATGTTTTTATACAGTTTTTGGTCATTTTTTTATTATGGTAACCGAAGCCACGACTATATTTGCGGATTAGTCTCGCTGATAGGAGAATTATAGTTGATCTCTGGGCTCTGTCACGTAAACGTACCTGTGCAAACAGGTGAACGATAATATCGAATAACCTAGCTGGTAAGCTGGGTTTTGAGTAGGATGTTAGGTCTCCAATCAATCGATAACTGCTGTCGCACTGTCGCGGTTGTGATAGTGTTTGAACGATGATCACTGACGAAGTCGGACAGGTCACTGGCCAAAGATAATCATAAACTGGGTCTAACACGTGATCTAATTCGTGAATCACTTCTTGAGTTTGACCGGTCAGTGAGGTCAGGACTAATAACGGCGTTACTGATGCCGACCAACACCGGTCATAGCGAATCCATTGATCGGTTTCAGGATAAATAGGCAACAACAAGAACGGAAGAACGAACGAAAAGATGTTCATATACCCAATGGTAGATATTTTTCACCAGTATAGCATGGAAAGATTGCACATTGAACAAAGGGAGTTTGGGATATTGAAAAGAAGTCAATGTACTATCCAATAACTGATATTTCACTTGTTTTCAACAACGTGGTTCCACTTGATTACGAATTCGATAGCGAATTAAGCGTTAGCTCACACACAGGATCTAGTCTGAATCGTAAACTGCCACCAATTTTACGACACCATTGAGGCCACAACCACTGTAGGTCATGGTGAACCCCATGCACTCCAATCGGTGATCAACCTCACATTGCAACTCACTGGGACAATATTCAGAATTAAAATTCCGTAATTGAATCAGAAATATTTCCCAGAGGAATGGTCAATAGTTTCAGGACAAAAAGCAACTGGAAACTTAAGAAGGGGCTACAGTCCGAGTGCATTGGTCTAGTGTCAGAGCTGAGGGCTAGATAAAGGATTGAAATTTCTTCCACACACAAAGACTACGTGTTTCTTTGGATTGCAGTTGTGCTTTAAATAAACGGCAGTTGATAATAAACAATGGGGGCATGTAACGGAACTAACGTAATTTTCGGCAATCCTGTTTTGTCAAAAATATCCCAGTTGATTTTTCGTACCACTTTAAAGCATATACGGCTGACCAACATGCTATATCGCAGTTTCCGAAATTTGCTGACTTACCAGAGGGGTGCGACATAGCAAGAGATTGACTGTAGTATTTCTACTACAGAACACATTACTTCATCGCATAAGGAATAAATTGACATTTTCCTCCATGTCAGTACATGGAAATGCTACAGCCACCCAATGGTCAAGCCAAAATCCGATAGCGTCTAATTCAGGTACCTGCTACAATACAAATGGAATTTAGGCTCAACGCCAAAATTCGGGCCTACTGGGCTTCCAACCGCTCCAAGAGCCTATACGGACGATAAACCTAACCTTCGTGCGTCCTCGACGTGAGCTCCCAATCGTACATAACCGGTGTCTAAAATCTAGTCTCAAAGTATGCCGGCAGGAGTGTCACGTTGAGCAAACTGAACAAATCGTTCTCCGTGGTCGTCTTTGGCTTTTTATTCATGCAGGGTACCGGATTAAAATAGTACTGAAGATCTCCCCAGGGATCCTGTGGACTAGGAATCAACAATTCCTGTATTGAGAACCTGAGACTATAAACTAGTGAGGTCTACAACAGGATTTAGATTCCGATCGTTGCACCTGGTCCGCCAAAGATCGAGATTTTTATGACGCCGAATCATCCTATCTCAGGGGACAACCACAAGTGAGTAATTAACTTATTAGTTGTCAGATGAATCTATATCACAGGAATCACATGGGAATTTAACAACCTTTTTGTTTCCATCCCGTTTGAATGAAATTCATTTCCTCAAATGTACAATGAAGTTTTACGAAATGGAAGAAGACAGGTTACAATGGATCATCATGATGACCTGGAAGGTGGTTGAGTTTCGTTCCAGGAAATAAACCTTGAAAGGAGTAAATTCAAAGTATGTTAGCATAAAAAACAGCGTCCGAAACTCTAGGATTTGGGGTGATTATTCACATGGCCTCAAACAGCATGCGGGCGTCAAATAGCCGAGTTGCAGTGAAGTTGGTTATCATATCTTACCGGACGCTCCTCGGACAAAGGGGGATCATTCTGTTGGAAAAGGCCTGATTGGCACATGTATTCGGCTACTGACACAAAAAAGACTACTATTGACTGGCAGTACTCGGTATCATCTACCCCGTATCCCGAATATCAAAATAATCGATTTACTCGGCGTTGCATTAACCAAATTAATGAGGAAATTTCAGGGAGTTCAGCCATGATCAAGCGATCACTATCACATGTGCAGTCGCATCCCGCAGCTGCTACTTTTTCAGTTCCATCATCGTCAACGTTGTTTGTGATACCCTTGTTTTTAGTTCGCCTTTTTGGGGCTGTGGCCCAACTAAAAATGTTATTTGCATCGTTATTTCTTCCAGTTCGGTAGCTGATCGCACATTGTTAACCTCGACTCACCTTTGTCCATCGTTGAAATCGGTCATTGTATGGCATCCGCGAGGTCTGTAGAATACACCCGCGGGAGGAACATGATATGGATTGGGAGGCCATTCGATCGTGTGGCTTGGACCAGCCCATGATTGCTGGGGCGGGACTGGGGCAACACATGGATTCGGTAAGGAAGACCGAGGTTGCGATGAGTAGTCTAGTGGTGACGGTGGTGCTTGTCGTACTAAATGATAGGTTTGTGGTTCGTCTGTGGATGGTGCCACGGGATTGGGATACCTAAAAGATATGTGGAGTGGATGGAGAGTCAGGCATGGAAATGTGAATGAGTTGTATGATAGCGAAACGACAGTAAAACTTCGGACCTATTGTTGGTTTGACCCAACAGTGACAGTGTACTACTATATCAAATAATAATAATAATAATACAAAAGTCACTCCGAACATTTCAAGTGCGTTATACTGTATGCATCTTGTAATAGCCATTGAAAGTAATTAAAACCGAATCACTTGGACAATCATAACATGAATAAAACTTACTGAACGTAGCCTAAATCAGGGTCTACACTGTTCCTCGGGACTGATTGGTGTCTGATAAATCCGTGATCACTTTGTGGCTGTAAAGTGCTGGAACTATAACGAAAGGTGGAAAAATGTACACGCATGAATAGGTAGAAAAACGACTACATGAACCGGCATAAGTCTACAAATACTGGTAATCTATATCGATATAGTTAGGTCAATTTGAAAAGGTCTGATTAAAATAACAGATCCAGGAAATAGGAGCAGGAGAACTATCAACCACCAATCGGAACGATGTTCAAATGGCCTTCAAGTATGATTAACAAAAGTTACCGTCTCTCTGGTGGTGATAAGTTACCTGTGACAAGCGGAGAGAAATAACGAAGGATATTCCGATGTCCGCAAGGGAATCGTTTGTAAGCTCACCATTTCTAATACTCGAATGTTTGGTTTCACGGTCAGAACGCAAAATAAGACGCGTTGAAAAACGGTGGTCTAAACATGCGACAACCGGCAAACATTCATTGGAGAATCAATCGCTATCAAAAGGTCTATCACAAGAGGGTCATGTGACTGGATTGTAATACAATGCCGTAATTTCCTGTGAAGCGATTAAGCTATCATTAGCCAAGAAAGGCAGAACGAGGAGTNCTATACAAGTGAAATTTGTATCCAAATTGTTAAGTGACGGGGATTCCGTTACGGCGTGAGAAACTGTTTTGTCTGTTGGTTAGAGTGAGTGAATTTTCGTCGCCTGAACTATGACTGATTTGAGTAATCCAGCACCCTGCTAGAAGGGAGACCATACTATATCTTCTTTGCTTGATCGTTCAACGCGTAAGTACCCAGTATATTCCACTCATCATCGTTAACGGTATTCGGTCATTCAAGAAATATTTACCGGCCTTCGCGCATCCAAAATTCACGGGGTCAACACTCGCGCTAGTGTGCGTCTTGAGCCGGAAAAGGGACGGTCACGTTTTATAAATGATGAGAGTGCAAAGGGATGTCTTCACAAACATCTTTGTATCCGTATGTCTGTCATCAATGATCGATTGCTACCGGAGAGACAGTGACAAGCGCCGGCTTCTGCCTCTCATTTTATCGACCTGGAAACCATACATCTTAGCCTGTCTTCAGACGCCCCTCTGGGTAATCAGACTTCGCTCATAGTATTTTAGTCTTCAATCAGTTTTTTAGTCACAGTACCTATTGGTTTACTGATTGGCAAAACGTTACGTCCCAATGGCCAGATTGCATCTTTATTCGATCACGGAGGGTGTTCTAAGATGGCCATAAGTCACAATTACCAAGGAGCAGGATAAGCTTCAACCGAAAATCTGTGGGTCTGTGCACGTGCATATACCAGGAATAAGATAATAATTTATTGAGGGAATTATATAGATGCAATATATCGTTACTTCCAACACTCAAGACCTAGTGGTGAGACCCTGACAATAATTCACAGACTGCGCTCGCCTCGTGCTTTGCCTTCTAACGTTGCAAAACTCTGTCCAACGACTCGAACTAACTAGAAAGTTCTTACGTTCTGAGAAATAACACTTTACATTCAACTGTACTGTGAAAAAAAATCCATATTGGAAGAGCAGTATTTCTGACCATTTTCCTTATTCAGGGGAGCTAATCTCAATGTTTTGACATTGCATTACGAATATCATCCACTACTGAATTGGTCTCATTTCAATAATTTTCTTGAAACATGTTCCGAAAAATTGACAGAGCCATATAGTCAAACTAACGCGGCCATTCAGTATGGCACCTTCCATCGTATACTCCTTTCTTCGACAGTGATTTTAGCAGCTTCAATTTGATAATCAAGAACCGCTTAGCGCAATTTGGAGAGAAAATATTGCAAATGCCCCAAGGGACCACAATGGGAAGCCACCGACATCAACTTTCAGAAGGAACTTGCCACACGGTCAAATAGACTCGTTACATGAGAGTAATGAAGGATTTGATGCAAATTCAAAGAGGGAATTCGTTGTGTATTGAGCAAGCGAAGTTTGCTATCTGTTTGAGTCCCAGCTGGGTCGATGGATTCACACTTCTGATGAGACCCAATCAGGTGGAAACAGCTGTACAGTGCTTCCTAGCTTTTCAGTTCACGCTTCAATTGCTCAAAACACGACGAATTCCCTCTTTGAAATAGACATTTTTTCAACCTACGGCTGAACTACCATCGAGCTGCCAGTCACCTCAATCTTAATGTGCACCCACCAACTCCGCTGTATATTCAAACCGGCGTTGCATAAATAGAGTGAAGTTGTATTATTCTGCACAAGATGAAACCGGAGACGGCGGTGGTTCATCCCTAGGAATGGAGTAACAAGGAAGGTCAATCTCCACTGAGAATGTTGACATCACAGGAAAAACAAAATCCCTTTCCACATCGATCCATTTAGTCAATTTTATAGGCAACGAAGTCAGGCTTCACAACGTAAGCGCTTATGCCTTTTATACTCTGGTACGCAAACTGTCACAGACAAAAGTATTTTTCACCACAGTTTCCACCGTTTCTCCTGCCCAATGGATTAGTCAGATTGCGAAACGCAAGTCGACATAGACAGTGTTTCTCTTTTTGGAAAAATCCATTCCAAAGTCTGTAAATAGTTGTTGGGGGATCACAGTTTGAGCAATCAATGCGTTGTGCAATTAACTGTTGACCAGTGGCACAACCATCGTTGGACATTACGTAGCCAGTGGCTATGGAAGTACTTGGACCAATATTGCGCATAGACCAGTGTTGATTAGTCAATTGGCAATGACCTCGACTATTCCGACGTCTGAAATCAGTAGAATCGGGCAGGATAGGGTAGAAGGTTGCAAGAGCTGAACAGCCTCTCATCGACTATCTACTTTTTATTGTTGGATCTCATTGCACCTGTTATATCATGCTGCTATTCTTTGATGCGTTCGGACAACTACCTCACCGATCTTGAAATTCCAAGTGTCTATCAACCAATCAAATACACCTTGGTTGATTGTGCTACACGTTCCCCTCTAATAATCAATTGCTCTTCTGTATATCACATTTACGACATTGTAACGCAATTCTAATTGTAATATACATCAAATTCATAGAATGAAGGCTGCGATTTCAGCATCATTGTTTTATACCTCAGGTAGAAAATTCGGCAACCTATGGGTTCTATATCGCCAAGCGTTCTCTTGGACACAATGAATGAAAGTCAAATCTTGCGTCAGACGTCAAACATTTGGTGCTATGCTCCTTGTCTTTGTTTAGTTTTGTATCAGCAAGCCATTATTGTCGGAATCTTAACTACTTCGCAAGAGCTTCTATCACCGGTAACCCGTACTTAGTTACTTTACTTTACGGTTGCTGGCTCCTGGGAGAGAATAAACCGGTTTCATGGATATATCATTACATTTCTTGGGAGTTAGGTACAGGAAATGTCCTCAGGGTCTCCCGGCTTTAGGTCGAGGTAGTATCTCTAGCTTTTGAACATTCAAGTGCTAAATGCAAGGTAGCAGGAAGGTAGCGCCTGGTTGCCAGTGGCTCTATGGGAGGGATAATACGCTAATGACAGTTTCTAGCTGAACATGAGTCCATGCAATCCTGGTGAGTGCGGATTCATTGCCTTGACCGTTGAGTCGTGTAAGGGACTTCGTTCGCTCAACGCGCTAGTACCGCATTCATTCGTTAGATATCGACTCGCCGATAGTTGAGCTCCTTGCTGCCCTCAACCTGTTTTAGCCCGCCTGTCGCTTACCGGGTTGTGGCCACTGGTGCATCCAGACAGCTTCTTGGAGCCACAGGTGAGAGCTGTGCTCCTGGTGGAGATCAAAGAATGGAGGATGCGTCCAAGAGACCGACAGTCCTCCGAGTCAGAGGTGCTACTCCTACCGGGTATCCCATACAACCCCGTAACCATAGAATGCTTCCGTGTAATTATGGGGTTTACCCCTTCACCAGTTCAAAAAGCGAAAGCGCTTAATAAAAACAGTCGAGGTGTTTAGATAATAGTCTAAATTGCAAGATGCACAAAATTATTTGCCCCCGGTTACGCATCCGTGGTAAATATCATATGAGTGGCATAACTCCAAACTCTGTATCCACATGCCGTGCAGTTTATAAGCAAACTAACAGAAGTTTGCTTTTTTCACATTTCTCGAACACTGACTTTCTAGTCATACACATTGTCAATCTTTGTCCATTATAGAAAGGACTTAAGCGAGAAACATACTCATGACATTATACGCTTCGCACCCAGATGGAAAAACGGGCATTTTGTTGACGTTGATTAGCGAACGCTCGGAAAGAACCGAGAAGGTCTCTAATCTTCACGGCAAACTTACCCGGATGGAAAGGCTAAGTTGATCGTTGTTAGACCTGAGAACAGGACGGAAGGGGAAAAGTGGAACGGTGGGAGGGAGACAGAAGAAAAATAAACAGAATCGAGTGAACGGAATCGGCAGATTTATTGATAATACTGTTCCTAAACGCGTAATGGGCCGATTCGATGTGACGCTCACTGTAATTTTCACTTATCACATCGGCTCATACGCGTGCGTGTACAGCACTGAAAGCACAGAGATGGTAGGTAGAGCTAAGAGAAAAGAGATAAAAAGCAACTGTTTGAGTCATTGTTCCTTATGAACGTGCAGAGGATAACGAGCGGAGAGACAATTAAATGAGCACAGTGTGAATGATTTCGAATTATCTAGCTAGAAATATGTGCAAACTGTTTCTATCGCTCTTTCACACGCATACACACCTGTATGCGCACAAAGTCAGGTTAATCCAGGAAACCTTGGCTCATCAGACTCAGTTTGAGCTGATTCACAGGATGTCCTCGTGCAACAGTTTTCAATGATGAATGTAAATAGTTGCCAGGATGTTATCCTATCTATGAAGCACGCGGGTGGATAGGTATGTGTCATACAGTTCTGTCTACTGACGACGAAAGAGAAGCGAATAATTCGCCTTCTATAGTACTGTCGATTTTTCGCTCACAGTAACATTTCGCTTAGTGTCGAGAGAGTGAAGCATGTATTCTACGTGTATCAGTTGTGCTTGAGATAGCAATACGACTAATACTACCAATAACAATTATACTTTATCAAGTGTGTGCCTTTCCATTCCATCTCTTTTTTATATCAG